CACTTTTCCTGAAGATAGAAGAGTTTGTTGAATCTGACGTGACATGTTCGTACGAACCCTTTGTACGAACAAAAGTAAGAGAAATTTAGGAGAAGAATACGCACACGTTCTTGCATGAGGCCCATTGTGGTCTCACGGCCTGCCACCCAAAGCTAAAAACTGTTGTTCTTTTGAGGCCCTCAAGATGGTGCTCTCGGCCCACAGGTTAAGAATCTCTGGTTTAAAGGAAAGTGAGGAATGTTGGAAGCAATAAACCAAAGTCCTGGGTCAGGAGCTTTGGAAGTGGTCTGTGGAAGAGTCAAGAATTCACTACAGCTCATCTTAGTGAATTTTAATGCAGAAACGTTGCATATTGATAAAAATCTAAATCCAGCAGATTGGTAGTCCCTACATCCTCCAAGAGTTCCTTCAGTGGGCCTCTGAGAAGACTTGGTGGGGAAGCGTGCTGTTAACTCTGCATTGTTGTGTTGTTTCCAGTTGCTCTGAACTTCCAGACAGCAGGGGAGCAGATGGACTTAAACCAAGGCAGATTCCTGCAGAACGGTTTGTGTGGATATGTCCTGAAGCCTCCTTTCATGTGTCAGCCGGACACCACCTTCAGCCCAGATAATGTTGGAGGTGGTCCTGGCCACAAACCCATCCTGCTCACTGTTCAGGTAAGACAGGGGAGCGGTACTGTCACATTGACTTGGTTGTTTAGTCCAGAAACAGGGTCGTAAAGTTCTGACTGTGTGACTCAGTCCTGTCTTCGCTGGAAGAAGACACTTGATTTTTTTCAGAGAATATCCACTGAGTTTCTCATTCATCCAGGTCCTGGTGATCCAAACTGGACTTCCTCCTTTAGTTCTTGAAATCTTTCTTTCTTTTCTGTTCTACAGAACCAATAATTTCTTTAGGAGTTAGTCCTGTTAACTTCTGTTCAAACATTCAGATTTCTATTTTTAACCTAAACAGAAACACACATTTTTGTCTAATAAATCCTGTAAAGGTAATTGTGTAATATCTGTTTCATAATTTTGGTAAACCAGGTTATTTCAGCTCAGCAACTGCCAAAACCAGAACAGGACAAGCCCAGCTCCATTGTGGACCCTCAAGTAAGGGTGGAGATCTATGGAGTTCCCATTGACAACATGAAGAAGAAAACTCATTATGTGGACAACAATGGTATTTACACTTTAACATTTTTAAGCCTTAATTAATCTGTTGGTGTGGTTCTTCATGGGACAACATCACCATTTAAAGATGACCGAGTTCTTTCTTTGTTTCAGGCTTCAATCCACGATGGGACAGCACTTTTAACTTCACCGTCCATGTCCCTGAGCTGGCTCTCCTCCGCTTCGTAGTGGAGGATCATGACTACACATCAAGCAATGATTTTCTGGGACAGTACACCCTGCCTGTTGCCAGTCTTCGAACAGGTGTGTGTGTGTGGACCAAATGTTCTGGATCTGTCTAACTCAGGGGTGGGCAATCATGGTCCTCGAGGGCCGCAGCCCTACACGTTTTACATGTTTCTCTGCTGATTCAGTCACTGAACTACCTCTTCATGTTCTGCAGTATGGAGAACCAAAACTGACATAATTAGGAATAAAAGCAGAAATAGATAAATGAACCTTTGAATAAATAAATACATTT